CAGCCACTGTCTCTACGAACCGGGAAGGCCACCTCCAGGACGTGGCCGCAGCACCGGATTGCGTCGAGGACCCCGCGAACCCGCAGCACTCGTTCCTTCTCGTCCTTGGGAGCGCGAAGCCGCCTCACGAGCTCCTTTTCAATCACGCGCTCCGCCCGGTCGCAGAAGTTTTCGACTATGCCCAGAAAGCTGGGTTCTCCCTCAGCTCCCTTTGCGTGCTTCCACCGGCCGGGCACGAGCGCTTTCCCGCGCCTTCTGCCTAGAATGTCCCCGCCCCCTGTGGAGGGTTCTTGTTCCCATGGAAACAAGGCCTGGTACTTCTGAAGCCCTGTCGAACGCCGGAGCCCCCCTCGGGGCTGCCACGAATAATCCCGCCCAAAGGCGGTTCCTCGCGGCCGACCCCACGCCTTCAGCAACCACCGCATTGGACGCGTGAGAACGGAGGGCACTGCCTTTTTTTTTTTTATGAGGCAGAACAAGGTCAACTTTTACTCGGCTCCGCCACGCAGAACAAAAGGTGAGGCGAAGCGAAGCGAACGGGCTCAATTGAATCGGGGAATGTCGGATGGGGAAATTTTGATTGGACAGGAGACCATCCAATGGGAAAAAAGGGCGGGGAAAAAAGGGCCTTGGTTGTGGGGATAAAAGCAAGGCAGCAGGAAGAATGTAAACTTCATGCCTGATGGAGAGTAGAAGGCGGTAGAGAGTGGACCTAGCGCGGCGGTTTTTAAACTTGGCATATTTAAGATATGTGGACTTCAACTCTTAGCATTCTCCAGCTAGCGTTAAAAAAAAAAAAGCGAATGAAAAAGTTGCGATGGATGGTGTGGATGAGATATCTTCAAAAAGAAAGAGCTGAGAAAGTAAAAACAAATTGCAAAGTTATCACTCGATATGTGGATGTTGTGGAACCCAGGATGTAGATGTAAAAAGATGTGCAATAGGCAGATATGAGTAATGAATAGTGTTGGAATAAATTAAATCTAGCTGTATTTTTTTTCCTCTTATTTTCTTTTGTATGTTGTTTCTTATAATTTTATGATTTGCATCAGGTTGTGTACCCCAACAGAATAGCGTAAAGATAGTATATATTTAACTTACATTTTTCACTTTCTGTTTTACCTTCATAATGAGCTATTTCTTAGTCTTGTTTACTTCCAACTATTAAAATTTTATTAGATACATTTACTGGAGCCCTATTTTTCAGTCACTGAATCCAGTGAGTAACGTATATGTCCAGTAACCTCTCTAAATATTGGATATGTTGCATCCAGGCAGTCTGCACTGAGATAACTAAAAACATAGCCTTGCGTTAAGTTTGCCTTATTTTTGATGATTTGTACCATGTATAATGTCATTACACAAATGATATGAAATATGTCATTTGTATCAAAATCAAAACATGTGTTTAGATTCCTAGGCAAGCTAGAATGTTGCTAGAGCTGGTTTTGTTCACAGTCCTACTTATTCTGCCTATCTTTGAGAATATATAGCACTGAAAACTTTTTTCAGAATCTTTCCAGATCAATTGATCCTAAAGATACCAGCCTGTCACTTTGCCCTTGTGAATCGCATTTTCCTGGGTTTTTTTTTTTAATGAAACCTTTCCTTTTGCATGATCTTAGAGTTAATTGACAGAACATTCACTTTCTTCACATTCTTATATGTTCATTACTGCAGTTTCATTCTTTTTAAAACATCATGGCTTAATATATTATTTCAGAGGTGTATCATATAATAAAATTGCTAGCTTGGTAAGTTTTAATTTTATTTATTAAAATCAACTTGATATCATCTATTCAGAAGATTTTAAATAACATTATCATAAGGCAACCCATGGAAATCATCCTTTTTATATTACAAAACCATTATAAAAAAAGAATAGGTCACCCAATATTCATCAGCTAGATGCAAACTATGTGAAAAGTAAGATTTACAGTGCCTTCCTGAAGCTAAAAAATTCAAAACTAATTAAACACTAAATTGTATGTACTAATTTCAAATTTAAACACTAATTTCTTATGTTTATCCAGATACATGAGCATTAATGCAGTTTTTGGGAGTGTCCGTCTTTCCAAGTAGATGGACAAAGCACTTTTTCCCATTTGCAAGTGCAGTGCTTACAGTGGGTGTTTATGTCCACCAATTTCTTGACGGATGAGCAGCTTTCAGCATTATTAATACAAGCTTTGTTTGTTAGACAATCCACCCGCTCTGCAAGGCATTCTATTCTCAATGAAGACTTCATCGTTTATAGTCTATTAGTTGCACAACTTGTCTTTCTCCTAGTGTTTTGCAAACATCTGTAGCCTGATATCAGTATGATGAAGAAAGCTATGAGAAGTAAAACAACTGGCAACCCTAAAATTTGCTTGGCTATATCCAAACTCAAATTTCCCAGAAATCGGGAGAGAGAGCAATTATGTGTATTTTACTTATCGCATGTGTCCACCAACAAGATCAATACCATCTCTTTAATTAGAAATATCCATTAAAATGCAATGTTTGCTATTTATTCCAAAGATTGTCTCTATAATTCAGAAATGTCAAAGTGTGCTAGAATTATCATTGTAAGATTCAGAGAATTCCTTGTCAGAGTTTTGAAAATAGTCATTGCTTCTCAGGTGGATAAAATAGTTCTCATAGGACAGCTGACAAACTTGACCAGAATGGGAACTCTCCCAATATGCTATATTTAAGGCTCATGTGATTAATTCTCGGTAAGGCTCTTCCTGTCAGATTATTATAAAGGGATTACAAAATAATCACACTTTAAATGTATTCTTCTATGCATGGATGAAAAAAATTCTGCCAGATTCTAGACTCATTTTTCTGAGACAGTATGTGCATGTTCCAGCAATTAAGGATCAAAAGGGCCATAAGCAGTTGATGTGGTCAGGCTTGAAAAAACAGATGAAAATAAAAAGAGCCAGAGGTAGGATACACAGTCAAAACATTCTGGTGCTTTAATATAAGGCAGGAAAACTAGGGAATTTTGTGTAATACTCAATGAAATAAGTTGTCTAAACTAAAAAAGAATCTGATTTGGGTATAAAGGCTTTATATGTCCTTATGTGCTGGTATTGGCCATGATGTTAACTGACACTGTCCTTATTGTCATATGGTGCTGAGCCAAAATGTGTCTTACTGTATTTGGCTTCATTTTTTTGTTTAGCAATTTGTGTAAATTAGATATATTTTTTTTTGCAAATCATGGCTTATGCTCAGCCAGTCTTATGAAAATGACATATGGTTGAAGTAAAGCATGTGTGAGAATAAATGAAATGCTTAGCAAATGTTTTGGCAATATGGATGGACTAAGCAAAAGATATGCAGTATCCCTCTTGGTGGCTTTATGCATTTATGGATAAAGATAAAGATGTTGAGACTCTAGAAAGAGTACAGAGAAGAGCAACAAAGATGATTAGACGACTGGAGGCTAAAACATATAAGGAACACTTGCTGGAATTGGGTATGTCTAATTTAATGAAGAGAAGGACGAGGGGGGACATGATAGCAGGGTTCCAATATCTCAGGGGCTGCCACAAAGAAGAGGGAGTCAAGCTATTCTCCAAAGCACCTGAAGGCAGGACAAGAAGCAACGGATGGAAACTAACCAAAGAGAGAAGCAACCTAGAACTAAGGAGAAATTTCCTGACAGAACAATTAATCAGTGGAACAACCTGCCTCCAGGAGTGACATAGAGCAATCAATTTAAACAGTTAAAGCAATGCTGGTATGGATAGAGTCAGGAAATCAACGGACTGGGGAACACAATGGAGGTGTTTATTTCTTATACACACTCTTAATGGAAGGACTTAATTTTAGCTTGCTTTTCAATAATTAAAAGAAGAAATAAATACGTATTCTTGTAATTGGAAACATGCACACATATATACAAAAATATGTATGCATGTAGAAAATTATTCTTCATTAGTTCAGCCATTCCTCCTTCTTGAAGTCAAGACTTTGCCATCTGTCAGCATCACATCTGTTTCAAAGCTTGGCTTTTCTGCATGGCTGCCTGCATGAATTGGCACAGCATTCTTGCAAATAAAGTAAGCAGCCATCTGTGAAAAAAAAGGGGTGGGGAAACAGCTTCAGATATCTTTGTGCCTTTCTACAAGAGAAAGATCCCCCACACCAACACTATGCAGCCCATCAAGCAAATCAAGCGTGGCATATGCATCCCATAGGTCACTTTTGCCATGATCTCTTCTATTTCCTGTTTGTTTCTCATCTCTCTTTTTAAAAGGTTTCCTCACATGTGTTCCAGATGCAGAAAGTACTTTCTAGAAAATGAGTGTGCCTTGGACTGTTTGGATGAGGGAGACCACAACTCTCTGTAGCAATGAAATTTCCTTAGAAGTTCACAAATCATGTTTGGGCTTAACTATTAGTATATTACTGTATTTCCTTCACTCCGATTTTGTTTGTTCTGTTGTTTTAAATATTGCTGGTTATTGACAATAAATGATTGATTGAGTGATTGATTGATAGGACATAATAAGCAAACGTTATTTCTACCAATAACAAGATTGAATGCTTTTCCCTTTAACAAATGGCAATCTGCCCTTTACACATAATTAAAGGAAGGGTTTATAACCCTTCAGAAGGAACACTTCTTCTGAACATTAAGTGCTGTCTCCACTCCTCTATGTAGCAATACTATACACAATTGTCAAGCCCCTGTGCTTGGTTTTAAATGCTAGGAAATACACACAACGTCACTTTCCTTAGTAAACCACTCAGAATATATTCCAAATAGACCTCACCTGAACTCTAACCCTATCCTTTGATTCGTTTTCATTGGCAATTGGATTTTCCCATGTATATTTCTATGGTCCACAACCTACTCCGAACAAAAAGCTATCACCATCGCATTTGTTAGCATACCTTTAAGAATCTATCCCTAGCCTTATTTTCTCGCCATGACTCCAAGTAGATCTACCACTAATTCTAACTCTAGGTTCATTTTCACTGGCTATACGATTTTTCCCATGTATTTTATTGTAGTCCACAAAGAACTCCTGAAAAGCTGTCACTGTCCCTTTCCATAGAAAACAGCTAAGAATATATCCCTAATGATAGTTTTCATCCCTAGACCTAACCCTAACTCTTACCCTAGATTCATTTTCATTGGCAATAGGATTTTCCTATGTGTTTTACTGTGGCAAGTAATTTCAAACAAGAAGCTGTAACTGTCTCTTTCCTCTAAAAACCTCTAAGTCTCTATCCTTAGCATTAATTTTTGGCTATGACACCACGTAGACATAACTCTTAATCCTAACCCTAATACTAACACTAGATTCATACAGGAGGTTACAAGATTGAGAAAATTATTCACAAGATTTTCAGAAACGGGAGATTATTTTAAAGCCTATAGGAAGCAATGTCTAAAAGACAGAGATCAAGTTTGAAAAGC